CATCAGGCTTCTGTATAGTATATACAGAATATACTGTATAGTATATATACTATACAGAAGCCTGACGATGGCAGATGAGATTCTGCCGAAACGTTGCTACAACTTTAAAAGCACAACTACAATGACGTGGGAAAATACCCGAACAAAGCCGAATGCCATACATGTAAGTAACCGCGAAAACTTAAGAAAAATATATATGTGTGTGTGTGTGTGTGTGTGTGTGTACACACACACACACACATATATACACATACACACACACACATATACATATACACACACACACACACACATATATATATATATATACATATATATATATACACATACACACACACACACACACACACACACACACATATACCTATATACACATATATATATACATATATGTATATATATATATATTCTGAGTGGGGAAAAAATGCCAAGTGGGAAAAATGGGAGGGGGAGGAGAGAGGCGGGGGAGGGGGACAAGAGGGGAAGGGAAGGGGGGCCTTTAAGGAACTCCAAAGTGAGGGGAGGACATTTATTTATTCATTTTGTCCCTGACTGGGAAAAGTCCGGAGTAGGAGAGACAAGAAGGGAAGGAGCGGAATTGCTGGCCAAATAAAATAAAATAAAATAACCCAAACCCAGGCACAACTAGAAGCCAAGCGGACAGATTTAATTTCTGAATTAAGAAATTTAGAGATCAAAGGGAGGGAGGGAGGAAGGAAGGAAGGAGGGTTGGAAGGAAGAAAGAAAGGAGGGAAGGAAGGAAGGAAGGAAAGAAGGAAAGAGGGAAAGAAGGGTGGGAAGGAAGGAAGAAAGGAAGGGAGGGAAGGAAGGAGGGAAAGAAGGAGGGAAGGTGGGAGCTAGGGAGGGAAGGCAGGAAGGAAGGAAGGAAGGAAGGAGAGAAGGAAGGGAGGAGGGAAGGAAGGAAAGACGGAGGGTAGGAAGGAGGGAAGGAAGGAGGGAGATAGGGAAGGAAGGAAGGAAGGAGGGAAGGACACGCAGCTGGCCAGAGAAAGCGGGAAAGGACCCCCCCCTTCGGAAGTTTTGGGGGACTCCCCGCTCTGTCCCCCCACACTCCCGATTCTGTGCCTCCTCCCCCCCCCTCACCTGCGATCCGCGGGGACAGTTTCCCTCCGTCTGTTTCTGCTCTCTTTTCTCTTTCTTTCCTTCCTTCCTGGACGGGCAGCCAAGGAGGGCGGGCGGCTTCCCCAACGCCTCCCCCGCGCCTCACCTGGCCGCCAGGTGGGAGGAGGCGGAGGCGGGACTTTTCTCCCACCTGCGTGGGACAGGTAAGGTTGCCACGCAGGTGGCGGGAGGGAAGATCCCGCTGGCCAGCAGGTTGCTTACCTCTCTCTCTCTCTCTTTCTGTCTCGAGACCCCCCTGACCTGCCTCTGCACGTGGGTTTCGTGTCTTTTTTGGGGTGAGGTCTCTGTTTTTGGGTCCGTGCGTGTCTTTTCGCCCTGCGTGTTTTTTCTTCGTCTTTCCGGGACGCGAGGGTCCATTTGGACCCGGGGCGGGTGGGGATGGGGAAATTGGGGGCTGCGAGAGTCTGGGGGTTGCAGAAACCCGGCGGAGAGGATGCGGGGTCTCCAGGGAAAGACACCCCCCCCCCCGACACGACATGGAGGACCGCGAACGTAGGAAAAGAGAAGCCTGGGTCAGAGGGACGATGAGGGGGCGGGAATCGCTCCTCGATTGGGTTTAGGGGCGTGGGGCTTGTTCCGCGGCCCCCCTCCCCACCCAAACTGGCCCTCAAGATACCCTTCCCCCCACCCCAAAAAGCCACATGCCCCCTCCAGCCGCCCCTCCCAATTCAGACAATGGAACTTGGCTGTAGCTGCAGGGCAGGGAGGGGGGGAGGGGTGATAACACTGGGGGGAGGGGGAGGAAGCAAGGATTGGGGGCTTGGGAGGGGGCCTTGGTAGCAACCCTGCCCTGCCTGCTCACCCTTGTGTCTTTTTAAAAATATATATATATATTATTTATACGTTTTTCTTTAGTAAACGTCAACACTCAACTATCTGTATGAACAGTGTGTTGTCTGGTACAGTTAGTTTTGAAAAATAATAATAGTAATAATATTCACAACAGCAATAATATAATAATATTAATATTATTATTATTACACACAAAAATGACAGTATACACAGCAGACGCGATAACCATGCTGGGTTTCGTATCACAAATCACTAGTCGAACGCTTCCCAAGTGTTTAGGATTGCGTGATGTATGGGCAGATTAAGGTAGCAGATCCCAATACTTTTGTGTAGAATAATAATAATAATAATAATAATAATAATAATAATAATAATAATAATAATAATAATAATAAGAAGAAGAAGAAGAAGAAGAAGAAGAAGAAGAAGAAGAAGAAGAAGAAGAACAAGAACAATAATAATAATAATATTAATAATTTGCTTATCCATACTAATAGGCCTTCATTCTATAGTTAATCATGTTCTTAAAGTTTTGAGTTTCTGACTTCTGTTTCTGTTGAGCAGCCATTGATAAAGCAAGTCCCATGTTAAAAAATTTATTCCGTTTCTTCCACCTCCTTTCTTTTGAGTGTTCATCTATCCATCTCTGCCATTCTAATATTTTTTTTTTAATTACATTTTTCCACCGTTGTACAAACACAATTCTCGCTGCCGTTAAACACGTGTAAAATTCAATGTGTCTTCGCTTTATTATTATATTTTTCTGGTAAAATATTTCTGGTTCTGGTCTCTTTTGAACCGTCCATGGGAGACTAAAACTACTCCCCCTAAAAAAAAATGGCACATTCCTTACTTGTTTTTGGCCCTCTCCCTCTCCCCCCCCTGTGGAAATCCCTATTTGGATGCTTCCAGGCGAAGGATCCCTTTGGGTTTGTTTTTTTCCTGCATAAAATGCAATTTAGGGTGCTTTGCATACAACTTTCTTTTAAATAATGCTTTATTTTTTTCCATTTATACATAATATCAATAGTTATTAAACAGCATTGTGACATTATATATAACTTTATACATCCTATCAAAACTTACGATAAACCATACTTTCATACCCTCTTATTTATTATATACTGTACATTATTTACATTTTCTATTCTTATATCTATTATTAATCCAAATAAACCATGTTGCGTTGTATTCTGCGTCTGTGTTTTCCCTTCTAATTCCGTAGTTTGCATGCAACTTTTATGATGACGACTTTGGACAGCTGTGATTGACAGCTCTGAGCCCTGCTCTGCCCCGTCTCGTCCTGCCCACATCTCTGGTCCCTCCCCTTTGGGGGTCTTGGGGGGGAGCCCACCCACAGCTGCTGTAGTAAGCGTGCGGGGAGCTTGACTTGCTCCCAAAATATTGGCCGGTGAAACGTTACCTGGTTTCTCTTAAATATAAGGCTCGAGTGCTCCGACCAACAACATCAGTGGGGAAGCCTGATTCACTTAATAACTGTGTAACTCACTTAATGACGGCTGTTCTGCTCATTACTCTCTGGGTGGGTATAAAGCAGACAGAGCAATTCCACAAAGCATCCATACGAAGTCTTTTTTAATTGGTTCATCAGGCATCCTTATCAACTCACAGTTATGACAAGGTTCTCCTTAACGTCCAATCCTTTGCATATATCTGCATTGTGGTGTAGAAAGACAATAAACTCTCATCCCCATGATGATGATTGAAGCGGCTGCATGGTGAAGGATTCAGGCAAGACCCAACCCAACGAGGGTCAATTTAGTGACCAATCAGGATTACAGATGTGACCACATGACATGGATTACATTTCCCAGGATGCCTTAACTACATTTCCCAGGATGCATTCCCTTAAGGGGACAGCTCCCAATTCCTAATTAACTATCCCAAAACCCATTAACTCTAAACTGTCTGGACAGGACAAAGGGGGGGATTTGCTAAACAACGGGGGGGGGGGGGAAAAAAAAGGGGGTAACATGGAGCAGAAATCACTTAACAACTTGTCTCGCTTAACAATGGAAATTCCCCTGCTTGGGTGGGTGGGTTGGACAAGATGACCTAAGGTCCCTTCCGTTATTCTCTTATTCTTTTTTCTTTCCTTCCTTCCTTCCTTCCTTCCTTCCTTCCTTCCTTCCTTCCTTCCTTCCTTCCTTCCTTCCTTCCTTCCTTCCTGTTGGACTAGATGACCTCCAAGGTCCCTTCCAACTCTGTTAATCTGCTATTCTTTTTTCCTTCCTTCCTTCCTTCCTTCCTTCCTTCCTTCCTTCCTTCCTTCCT